ATTGAAAATGAAGAAGTGTGAGAACTCATGGGTTGACATAAAGGCAGTTTACTAGGTAAAGCAAAAGCTACACATCCAAGCAAAGCAAGGAATTCCTTCACTACTTCACTACTTATCAGCAGACAGGTGTTCAGCCACTTCCAGGAAAGCAGGGCTCATCACACATAACAGTTTCTTGGGAAGACAAACACCATCACTTCAGATGTCCTCCCCTTCCCCTTTCTTTACCTTAGCTTTTATTTCTGAGCATGATTCCATATGGTATGGGACATCCTTTTGGTCAGTCTGCCCAGCTGTCCTGGCTGTGTCCCCTCCCAGCTCCTGGTCCTGTGTCCCCTCCACCCCTAGCCCCCTCACTGGCAGGGCAGCACAAAAAGCTGAAAAGTCCTTGGCGCTGTGTAAGCACTGCTCTGCAACAACTGAATAATATCTTCAACTGAAAATATCAGAGTTACCACTATTTTCATCAAAAATCCAAGACACAGTATCATATGAGCCACTATGAAGAAAAGTAACTTTATCCCAGCCAAAACTTTGACAGCTGTCCATAATCTGTCACCTGGAAATGTACATAAAATTGTGCAAATGCACTTGGTGAATTTGTATTGGCCCAGCTTGCTGAAATCACAAAATAAGTCCAGGTCACCATGTATCTAAGGATGGAAAACTCAGGCTTTTTTTCTCCTTGGCATGCAATTGGATAATTTGTTACTGTGCAGCAAGTGACAACCCCAGATGGAAATGTTAGTTGCATTGTGCTTTGTTTTCACCCTAATTAGTTTTCTTAGTTTTTCACCTACCTTGGAGTAAAATGTACAAATATGAAGAATTCCTCAGGTAGGTGTGTGTGTTAAGGTACTCACATTGCAGTCGTAGCTGACTGCTGGAAATGTTGAACCTGAACTAACAGTTCCCCTGAGCTGTGACAAATGCAGGACAAGGGTCACCATGAAAAGGAAGCACTTTTCATTATTTTGCTGTGACAGAACAAAAATATTAGACAGCTGAGAGCCAAAACAGGTTTGTTCTTAGTCATTTACACATTTATAGTGATAAAATAAATAACACTTTTTAGCTATAGTTTTTTTCTATATTTATGCATTAGAATAACGCAGCTCTGTAATAGTAAAAACAAAAATTATGACAAAGCTAATGTTGTAAATGGAGTTAAATATATTTTATGACACTTTTGATCTTTAAGACCTTGACTTTCCCCAGGAAACTTTACCAGGCTAAATGTTTACTTTCACAGCCTTTTTTCTAATGAGCCATTTTCATTCTTTATGCCATTTTCTGTGGAAATGATTAAATTCATTAATCAATGTTTGAATACATTTTTTTTTCTATGCTCTTGCATTGCTAATAGAGGCATAGATATATTTAGTTAATGTCCTGTTATTTTTAAAAATGATTGATCTATAAGCAAAGAATAGATTAATTCACTAAGAAATTCTTACTAAGAAAGGCTGAGGAGTTTCAGGCAAGAACAGATTCAAATTAAGACACCCTAATGTGGAATATGACAGGACTAAAAGACTAACAATATATGTCCAATAGAATAAGTCAAGGGAAGAAAAGTGTCTTACAATGTCCATTACTGCACTTCAGGCTGACTTTTACCCAATTATTTTTATCTTCAGCATAGCTTGCATGGATATTCCTCGCATGGCACATGACCTGTATCAGAGAGGGAATTTTAAGGGTCACTAGCCATCACAATATGTTACTTTCTGCCTTTGAAATGGCCTATAAGGTGAAGTACATTCAGGCATTATTAGTGCTGTAGAGGGATGAGAAGGAGGACTCACTAGTTAACTTTGGACATTAACACTGTAGCTTGAAGACCCCTCTCCAATTCTTCTTGTGAAACGTGTAGGCAAATCATGTGGCCTTGCTGCAGGTGCATATACTTCTGGTGCTGTCTACACCAGGACTCCAGGCCCTGTCAATATTGTTTACACACATGCTTTTGTTTAAATGCAGCCCCATCCCTGGAGAAGTTTGTCCACAAACTCAGTGCATTTATCTCAATTCAAGATCTTGTTCACGGCCTATGGCATTGTTGTGATAAGACAGCTGAGGCTTCCTGCTCCAGCCTTACCATCACCACAACCCCCCAGAAGGTCTACACTCCTGTGCCCTAATACTGTGCAACCATAGCAAGGTAGCCATGTATCCATCTTCAGATAATATCCTGTTCATACCATCACTGCCACGATATGGATTATATTCCCTGAAGAGAACAAGGAGGGAGCTCTAAGAAACGTCAGTTTGGTTTTGACAATGCAGCCTCTTGTGTCCATTTCTCTTTTAAAATAGGCTCCTCAGATATCAGTGGAGTGAGTCCTTCTGTCTCTATTTCTTCAGTTGCTGCTGCATCTTTGAGACTAAATCAACAGTAGAAGACCCCTCCACCTGCACAAAGCAGCAACCAGCCAACACTCAGCAGGGTGAAAATGAGGCCCTGCTTACCATGTGCAGCGGAGTAGGAGGCAGTGTGAGATCTGGAGTTGGTGGTAGGAGGCCAAGAAACAGGTGGAATTTCTAGTTTTGAAAATGTTTCAGCATCTTAACTGGTTATTCAGCTTAGTTTAGTTAATATAATTCCATTAAACATTTTTTTTTCCAACTGTGTTTTGTTATCTCTGTATTAGTAATCTAAGTAGACTGAAATCCTGCCTAAGTCACATAATTCATTGTGACACTTAATTTCCAGGAGAACTCAGAACCTGCTTGCACTGTGGAAGTTGAATGACCCAGAAAATTGTGGCCGAGTGAAGATGTTTAACCTGGATGCCCCATGAAATGTTCCCATGTACTGTACTGGCAAAGATTTTTGTTTGGTTTTCCCTGAAAGACATATGTTATTAAGAACTGCAACTATTTGCTCAATATCCTTGTACTGACAATTCTGAACTACTTTTGAGAACTGGAAGAGTAGCCATTAACTTTCTTGGGTTTTGTCCCTTTGTCACAGCTGAACGTTTCTATAAACATTCCTTTATAATAGCTCTTTCTTATTCAGTTTCTCCCACCTTAAGAGTGAATCAAAACTAAGCATCAGTGTACTGACTTTTTTAACCATGGCTTTGTTTGACACACAAGCAATATGGGAGAGGACATCTTGCACAGAAATTGTTGGCTCAGCCCAGAGCACAAAAGAACTGTAACCTTGTACGTGAGGCATGGAAGAGGCTTTGTTGTGATATAGATAACGAGTGCTTCTGCAAAGAGAAGGCAAGAAAAGTACAGAGAAACAGATAGCTGATGTGGAACAGGGAAGCTAGTAACAACTTGAGCACCCTACGGTACCTTGTTCAACTTAAATGGAACATCCTTTGCTTTTGAACTGAAGTACATTTCAGCAGAATTTTGAAAATCAAACTTTCTAAACACTGTCAATAACTTTGTTAATCTATTAATTGGGCCCCGAATATAATCCCAAGAGGAAATGTAGTTTGTGATTATTTTAATAGATTGCTATTCTAATACAGCTCCAAACAGAGCAGACATTTACCCAGACACGAATATTATAAAATATTCTTAGTCTCGTATTGTTCCCATAGTCATAATAACATTCCGTTTCAGAGAGCATTAGGATGTGTCTAGCATAGCTTATGAACTAATAATTTGTTAGCAATAATTCAAGCCATGTCCTTCATTATCCAGAGGTATCCTGACAACAATAAACTACTCATTTTTTAAAGCAAACCAAGTCAGAAGTACTATCAACATCTTAAGAAATATATCTATCTTCTGCCACTGAGTGAAGCAGTCATGTGGAAGGAAACTAGCCAAATGAATTAAGATGTCCCTGCATTTGGAATTTGCTAGGAGGGTGGTGAGATACAATAATTGCTGTAGCAATATTACTTTGGGCAAAAGATAGGAAAACAAGGGAAGTTTTAGAGGTGGTGTTTGTTTTTTGTTCCTGTCATAAAAGTAATTGACTTTAATTATCATAATAAATGTTCTAGCTGCTTTAGATAATTACATGCAGAGCCTTCCATATAGTTTAAATTTATGAGTGTTTGGGTCAGCACATCAGTACAGCTTACAGCTATACACGAAAAGAAAATTTTGCTCAGAGTACCTTCTTAGAGGTGTTGCTTTCTGAAAATATTCTCTCTTAAAGAAAATAATAATAATAATAACTTATTTCTATTGCACCACAGGAAACACAGATGTTTCCTCTCTATATATAACCTGTATAAAACTATGTACTCTGAAGATCTAACTTAACTAGGCTCAGAGTACTCAAAGGATGAGAACTTAGTGTAATACTTTGCTGTTCAAAAGGCCACTGTGAATCACACTGAAGTCGTTCCTTGGCCTGGTTTATGTGAACATAGATGAAAAGGATTCAAACAGAACAGGCATCACCAGGACATGCCATAATTGAGGCATGAAAGACAGGATTTCAGAAATTCTGACATTCATTTTACAAGCTAGCATGTACAAAAACTAGAGTTTTTGGAGTTCATTTAGGACTACATGCAGTCTCTTTGCACAGGTGATATTACTAAATCTCTGCCAAAAGATCTCTGTGCCCTCAGCTCCCACTGATTTCCATTCCCCCTACTGCATTCTCTCTTGTACAGTACCAAAAAAGAAGATGTCTTTGTGGATCCCACCTGGAGAAATTCCATCGGCAGCCAGTTCCTGGCATGGGAGGTGGCAGAACTGCCCTTGTCCACACTCCCCCTCTGCTCTCCCATGAGCACAGGGGCTCATGCACAGCCCTTTGCCCTGATCCCCTCTAGAGCTAGGCTGGGATAGCCCAGTTCCTATCACAGTTGAATTTTAGGCTCTTTTACAGGCTGAGCTCAGCAGTACATCCTTCTGTGCACCATTACTGCCCTGTTTCCTGGGAATTAAATCAGCTCTGATCAGTTCATCTCCTTTCGTCATCTAATTGATGCTGCTGGCTTGCCAGTCACTGATCTGTCACCTTACCAGATAATACTGAAAACCAAATGCACACCTGAATCCCAGGCCATATGCAGATTCAACTAACACATTTTTCCATCATAAAATGGTTGAATGCAGGAAACTGCTCAAATATTAAAAGCTTCTTCATTTGTGATTTTTTTTTTCTTTATCTAATCTTTCCTCCATAACAATAATCTTCTTAGCATGATATTACCTTCATTTTGGTGTTTGACATCAAAATAGGGGTAAAACAATGATTTCCACACAAAGAGAATGCAAACTTGTGCAAAGCTGTTTTCTTCCATCATGAGGCCACAGAGTTCAGAATTTTCATCTGGGAAGGTTTGAGCTGGAAGAACTTCACAAGCAGTCTAGCACAACCATGTTTTTATTTATGCTTTTTGTTTTGTTTTGTTTTTTCACTTAACCTTGTACAGTCCAATCATTTTTCTTCCATTGTGCCATCAACCTACCAGCTAGATGCTAGCTTCTCCAGTGTTCCCCACATCTGAGATTGTCCTGAACAATTTGATTTCCTGCTCAATTCTTTCTCTGTCTCCTACTCAAATGTCTGCTACTTACACCTCCAAGGGATCAGCTTTAATCCACACAGATTAATCATTTCTTAATTAGGCATGTGTTTTGTTTTGTTTTTTTTTTCTCCCCTTTTTAAGAAGTGTGAATTTTAATCACTTAATTTTACTCTGTTATGAATAAAAGCCCTCATACCTGCAAAGCTTGCAGTATGACAAATATTTTAAAAACCAGTTGAAGACATAGCAGAAGGTCCACCACAGGAAATACCTTCCAGAGTGCAAGATCTCACATCTTTTTTTTTTTTATTGCAGTGAAACCTTGTAGAATGGATTTCATTAAATCTTTAAAACTAGAGTAATGTTACAGTGTGGTATAAACACCTTAATTTTTAACACAAATATGTTCTTCATTTATGCATCACAAACTACAGTAACCATGTTTTCCTTTCCATCCAGTCAGATGGTAGTCAAAGAGGAGGACTTTTGCAAGTGGGGATTTGACTGAAATAATTTACTCTATGAAGGACATTGAAATTGAGCGATGTCTATTCACCATGCTTCTTGTTCTTGTTGCAGCTTCATGCTGCAACACAGCAACTGATCTGCTCCAAAAATAAAACAATAAAATAAAATAATTAAAATAAAATAGCAAAGAACAAGTAGAAAATGTATATACAGACAGGAGTCTGTTGCTCTCAGGATGTTAGATTACCATATAATCAGAAATATGTGGCTAAGTTTTTTGAAGTACTGAATGATTTCATGAAATCATTATGCTTCTTCAGTACCTATGCACCCTTAGATCAAATAACCTGGTTTCAGCCTTCAGTATTTTGCATCAACATCAGCTCAGGAGAGCCCTTTCTTATAACTGGGAATAAAAACTCCTTTTTGCTCTTTGTAACATGGAACATCCTGCATTGGCTCATAGGATGAGCCAATTGGTCTTGTCAAATTGTTCGAACTCATATATATAATATTAATTTTCTTGGAGAAAAAAAAGAAAAAAAAAGATTTTACACAAAATTGATTTTACATTGAAAGTAAAATCAAATATACCTTGATGATTTACATCTCCACAGATCCATGCAACAGCACATGATTTAAAATTCTGTATTTAGTTAACCTCTGAATCTAGGTTGTAGAAAATGTACTTTCCTGAAATACCATCTATCATCTTTTGTTTCTTTTTTGAATTGCGTATTCAATAAAATGCCTTTTCAAAACATCCTAAATTATTCATTAATTTGTGCAGAATTTAGAACACTGTTTCAGACCATGTCAATATATTTCTTATTTTTTTTTTAAATAAAAATATAAATTACTTTGAAATTGATCTTTGCTTAGAATTCACACTACACTTTTTGAAAACAGCAACCTTCCATATTAAAGTGAGAATATGGTCACTGGAGTTTATTATACATAAAAAAAAAAAGAATGCATTTGCTAAAACTGCAAGATTTTTATTTTGCTTTTAGATTGACAGAAAATTATTTGATTTTGCTTATGGATCAAGAGAGCAAACAGAATATTAATTGTTCAGTAAATTCTATATTAAATTTTAATGCTTTGTATTTGTGAGCATTTCACACTTTATCATCATTGTGGGAGAAGGTGGAGATACGTGTTCTAAACCTGAACTTGGAGCCTTCTTGTACATACTCCAGCCCTCTAGCCTAAACCCCAAGTTTCAAAGCGCAGCTGTTGGATGATTTCATTTTGGAAAACATAGACATCCTTGAACTTAGATCTGGGAAAATGGACTTCAGGGAAAATGAGCTATGAAACTCCTGTTTAATGTCCAATCTGAGACAAGTTGAGAGAAAAGCAGCATATCCTATCACTTTTCCCTTCATCCACATACTTTCTGGTGACCTTGCATTTAAACTGACTTGTACTGTTTCTCACGGCAGAGTATAAAGCTATAAACACAAGTCACTTTTTGCTAACATCGTGTGGTAATCTATAATATGACCAAATGAGAGCTGACAGGAAGCAAGAGGACTTCTTCTGAAACGTGAGTGAAAAAGGAACAAATCATCTGGATGGAAAGCTGCAGATATAATTTGTATTCATTGGGCACTGCAGAAAGGAATTAAGGTGGAAATACACTTTTCAAGGTATGGGGGAAATTCTTCCCATGTTGTATAGGATCCAGTGGGGAGATACTGTCCTCTGTAAGTATTTGCAGTAAATTTGGGTAGTATTAGATCTCTTTGGAGAATGAATATAGGCCAGCCATAGCATATCTCTTTGATATAGTGAGAACAAGCTTGATCGTGTGTCAAACCAGATACCCACCCCACTTTCAGTGCCAGATGGGAGCAGAAGCATATAACCTCTCCATGTATTTCCCTCATTTCTCACCTTACAAGAGACCTGAGATATGTGCCCCTTCAGAAAAATCCACCTCCATTATTAACAATTCTTCCTTTGTGGTTTGAGAAGCACCACTCCTCAAGGGGTTCAGGCTTTTAGACATAGAAGTCTTCATATTCAGTCCATGATGTCTGAATTGCATTACTACCTGAAAATGCACAGAAGTGGGAAAATCTTGACAAAAGCAACAGACGGTGACAAAAAAAAAAAAAAAAAAAAAAAAAAAAAAAGCAGACATGGATTTCAATGGATTTCACAGCCTTTTTAGAGTTTAACAAAATTTTGTCTCTGACTCTCCTCTCCTCCATGAGATTTTTGCATAACAAGCTTTAGGAGCAGTCTCATTATCTCATGTCATAGTCAGTATAAGCCATCTCCACTGACACTGAGTTGGCCGAGTTGAATGGATCTGAACTAGTTAGGGTTTATCTCTGAGCAAGGTGATACCTTTATAATGATGCCATGTGATCAGTGGCCTTAGCAAATGTAAGAAAACGAGGAATTTTCTTGGCGCCTCACTGACTGTATTTTTAGGATTACATCCCATTAAGATTGATGGGGTGATTAGCATAATTAAGTCAGTTGGCCCTGGAGCTTTCCTTTGCAAAGCAGCAATTACTGATGTTTTTTTCATCCTCGCCTATGTCTTCTCAGAGACATCTATTTTGCGTCAAAGAGAAAGGCAATTTTTTACCCCAGAGCAATTTGGCTTTAGACCAAGCTTTTCACAGCTTTGTCTCAGGACACTGTATAACATCACCGTAACTAGAGATGGAAAAGAACAAATACATAATCCGGTCCCAGGGCACAGCCAGAGACAACACAGGATTGTTTAGCCAGCAGAGTTACTCATAGATTGTACCTAGGTTGGTTTTAATTGACCTTTTATTTAAAGAATCATCCCATAGACCTCTGACATGCTGAAAACTGAGCCTGCACCTTCTTTCACTTTTCTTTTTTTTTTTTTTTTACCCCTATACTTCTGTCCTTTCTTAACACAGATAAAAGAAAAACCGTAACCTTGATTTTATCATGGAATGCTGACTCTTATAGAAATAAGGACAGCAGTACTGTTTGCTCTTGAAATGAAGGTTGTGGGTTTTTGTTTGTTTGTTTGTTTTAGTTTTTATTCCTGAGGTGCTCTCTTATATCCTCATAGTGCTCCATCCAAGCAAGTTTCTTGCTTTGGTCTCCACTTCAAAATCTTGATGCACCTTGGAGAAATGGTATCTTAGATGTTACAGAAAAATCATAACCATCTTAAGATTTCACAAATGACCCACAGGGGAGCAGGAAATTCGACCAATGGTTCCAATAATCCTAAAGAGCATCTGACTGTTGAAACGCACTTTGCCCTTGACATGGAAATTGTTCGAAAAGCAAAATGACCCAAGATATAGGTAAGCCAGCAAAGTTCTTTATCCTTTACAGTACAGGAGAGGTAGGAATTTCTTTAACCCTTCTCCTAGCTTTCTGTGTGCCCCTGATAGGATGAAACAGTAACCTCATTGAAGCTATTGGATAAGTGAGCAACAAGCTGTTTGCTAGGTGTTATTTAGTGCTGAATCCCTTTAAATCTATTCTATTAATAATAGATATTGTTATGAGCATGTCAGGGATTCAATTACTATTTGTTACTAATGTTTCCATGTCATGATTGTTTAATCTTACTACAGAAGTATATTAAAACCTTTATTAAAACATTGCTCAGTCATTTGTCAGGTCTTTATGAACAAATTATAAAAGGAACTTGGCTGTAAATTGACCTGCTCTCATGTGCGATGTTGCTGCTCCTCTGACTTCTAGGTATCTACCTCTGCCTGTGGTTTGCTCACTAAAAATAGCTCCACTCCCATATTTTCTGTCTGCAGGGCTAACCCCCTATGGCCACATATCAGTGATGGGGAGCTCTCAGGAACAGAGCAAGGATGTGAAGCCATGGCTGTTCTGCAGGGCAAACAAGAGGACCAGTGGGGTCTTTGTATTTTTCTTACCAAAATGTCAGTGCAGTCAGTGGGATCCAAGTTCTCTGTTTACGTGAGCACAACTCAAGACTAAATCTGTTGAAGAAATATGAATTTTTAAAAAATAAGATCATATTTTTGAGTACTTCGGTGTATGCTTCATCTCCTAAAAACTCTCCTCTTGCCTTTTGAATGTAAAGAATCTTGACACCAATATGTTGAGTATTCTGAAACTGTGTCCAGCTTTCCCCTTCTACACATCTGTTTTCTTTCCCATTCAGCATGTGCACTGCAATGAAGGCACAGCTCTGAAAAGATCAAAACACTGTTTACTTCTTACATGAGCAGAACTCATAAATGAACTTATTGTCCCCTCAGCCTGTTCAAAATCCAGGCATCACCAACAGCCATGATGATTGCCATTGACAAAGGTTTTGAAGATCATGAGCAAATAGGTCTCATCTTCTAGGAAGTGAAAATTGTACCTGTCTCCCAAACATGCCATGATTAAGAGAAAGATCCTGAGCATCCAAATGTAAACCTCACTTAAGGCTGTTTCCTGAGGATCTAAACTCACAGCACCCTTAGATTGGTGCTGAGTATAAGGTACAGGCATTAACATGGCATGCATGAGTAAAAGAATTATTATAGAAAGAAAGGTGTAAAGAGAGACAAGGCTGTGTCTTCTTAAGGGTGCTGCCAAAAGAATTTAGAATGAGTAAAAATTAGAAATGTATTAAAACTAGAATTTAAGAAACGTTGAGGACATGTCTTAAATGTCACAGAAACAGAGTGAAAAGACTGTAGGGAGCTGGCAGTTTAGGGTCATATGCACTCATGCGCTCAGTCTTTTATATAGAATGTGTGCCGAAAGTGCTATGGGAGCTCTCAACCAAATCTTTTGAAAGTGCATGTGTGTTATGTACTCACGGTGTGTCTGTCACATAGTTTGGAGCATACCCCAGAAGCATGTTCCCATCAGGATTTCTATGAAAATTTGTCTTAGGGAAATTAATCTGCATGTACCAAGGCAGTGTAGAGGTGTGAACTAATGCAAAGGAAAGACCTGTGGGTTTGCATTAAACATATATATCTATATTTGTACATATACAGTGTATATATAAATACAAATGCAAATAGTAGTGTAATTATATATGTAAATGTTACTATAAATATAAATATAACTATAATTACAAATATAAATATAATTATGAATATAAATATAAGTATATATATGTTTATATATTTAGATATTTTTTTCAAGACAATTTGCTAATGAAAACATAGCTTCTGTGATACAGGTTTAGAATAATCTCCTTAATTATTTTGGATGTCAATTACATTTAATTAAACTCATGCTTACAGCCAGAAACTCACATGGACCAGAATGGAGAGGCAAGGGAGGGGGAGAAGCTGCAAAATTACTTGGCTTCTCCAAGAAGCCGTTACTTGGCTTAGGAGATCTGATAGATGATAGGATTTAATCAAGTCTTAATTGTCTTGAATTTGAGGGTTATAAAGGATGGTGAAGGCCTCTGTATAGATTGGAAAAGTGAAGTCAAATGTTTTATCCATGTATCATTAAGAGAGAAGAGACTGGAGTTGATTGCTAGGAATTATAAAAGTGCTGGCAGTCAATATTGCTTTCATTCCAAACTTATATTGATGACTTGACTTCTGGGATGTTGGGGTCATTGCAATTGCTTTTTTTGGCTAAGCAAAAGCAAAATCATATAATGATCGGCATGTGGTTGAAAAATTGAGAAAAAGATGACCAGTGTGAGAATATAAAAAAGGAGAAAGATTGGGGCAGATGGAATCCAGTAAGGAGAAACTGAGATTAAATAGTAGAAAGATAAAATACATCCCCAGCAAGGTAAATTTCCTCTGAAATGCCAGCATTTTTATGAGACTTCAGTCTCATAAAATAATAAATAAATACATATATAATAATCTGATATCAAAGGTTTTCCTTAAAACAGAAGTTCTTAAAACTTGTAAGAATCAGATTAATATTTTGCTTGCAGAATATGGGATGGGAGATTCAACAATGTTTCTTCCCCAAGGAAAGCAAATGTTCCGAGCTATCTTATTGATTTTAATAATTGTTCACTCCAACTTTAAGATTTCTAAATCTAATTTATAATATACAACCTATAATTTCCTCTTTGTCCTCTTCAACAGAAGAAAACATGTGAGGGAAAGCTGATGTTTTGTGCCCTAATTAACTTAGCTGTGTTATTATATCACCTCCATGTTCTTCCAAGGAAAGCAGAGGGTTTGGCAAACCTCGAAGGTGTCCGCTGGACTACCACATGAGGGACTAGCATTTTCAGACAGTCTCTGGCTGCTTCTCCACCTGACTTTTCTTTTTCCCCACTTGAAACAAGCTTGTGCCTCTAGAATATGTGGCAGTAATTGACCCCAAAAGGGGGGGGTGGGTCAAAAATTAAATTAAATTAAATTAAATTAAATTTAAAAATCTACCTAGATCATTAATACCAAGTAGTTAAGAAGCACTGCTCAGACTCAGTTTTTGTCCCAAATCCACTGCTGCTGCTAGCTCACTGGCAGGAATGAGGAAGGGTGAGTTTATTCTGCCCTAATGTCCAGTCTATGGAAGAGCTGAAACAGTACCCCCACAGCTGTTTCTGTGGCATACTTGTAAATTCTCTGTGCTGACATTTCACATGGATCCAGCACCTGGTACAAGGATTCCTCATGGCTCTTTAATACAAATACTCTGATCTGACACAAAGTAAATGGAGGAACAATGTTTTCTGAACCTCAAAATTGAGTTGTGATTGTTGCAAATGCCCAGATATTCTATCCTTGTTACTTGACGAATATTGTGGAGGATGATTTTGTTCTCCTCTTTGAATGAATGTTGGTGGATTTTTAAAATGGTAAGGAATGAATTTAAGCATGAAGTGATGGAGCCAAATGGAGTAACTCAGCCAGACATTAGACTGGAAAACCTAGAGCACCTGGAAATATATCTGTGTCAAAGAGAAAATTACCACCATATCATGAATGGGGCAAAGTGTCTGAATTCCTGTAGTGCTCCTGGATAGAATATATTTAATATATATTCTATCTATAAGCAATGAGTGCCCTGATTGTTTAAGCTAAATATTTGTGGTGATCAGAAAGATTAGAGGAGAGTTAGCTAGAGACTTAGGCTTGTCATCTTTCATATCAGAGTTTCAAACTGTAGACTCTATCTTGCAAGTAGAGCAATGAAGTCACCATGGAGGCCAACAAGACTTTCTTAGGATTTTGCAGTAGGTTTAGCAATTAGAATATAACGAGTGGTACAGAGGTTAGGGTGGGTTGGGAGAGACTTTTTCTTAACATGTGTTAAATGGTTGCCTTCCACATCTTTCTCTCTAGAACACAGTAATTTGCCTTAATGCTTATTTAACAGGCAGCATTACAGAGTAGCAAAAGCAGTCTCAATGAAGTCCAACAAATCTCTAACCCATCTGTTCACACAGCATGAATCCCATGCTCCAACAGCAGGACTGAGAGCAGTGCAGTGCTCTCTGCAGCAGCATCACAAATGTGAAGCTTTAAATGTGATCTCTAGCCCAGGAATGACCTATGGCAGAGAAAACTGGAAATGCTAAGATGGATCAGCAGATGGTTAGCAACTTTAAAATAATTTATGTTTATATTTTCCTCTTTCCCAGTGAATATTCATTTTCCCAAGTGAAATACCATATTTCCTCTCTTTGTTAGGGTATGCGCCTATGATTTAATTGTGACTTGGCTCCAACCTGTGTTCAAACTATCGAAACCAAAGGCACCTGTTGCACAGTATTCTGTGCCTATCAGTGGTCAAAAGCAGAATCTGCGGAAGACTTACTATGAGCATGGTTAGTTACTAACATAACATCTTACTTCCATGTTGTCCTCAGTTGAGCATCAGCAAACAAACACTTGTGCTTATTTTAGTACAGTTAAATTCTTAAAAGTGTAAGCAATCTCTATGAAACTGCTGCATTTTACAAGACCCCAGGGGTAAGTCAAGGTATCTGCAGTCAGCTGACTGGTGGTAATTTACTGTGCCATCATAAAATGAACTTCAGGGCTGAAACTGGGTATCACTTTAAATACTGATGCTCAAGACTAGTGCTGAAATAAAACATTATGGAATAAAAATCTTGTCCCAGATTTTTGGCTTTATGCACTTTTTATTACAGCAGCTGCAATAGCACAGCTGGGACCGGAATAGCAGCCAGATGATGAAAAATGGTTTACTGGAAGAGTCCCACTACCAGCAGTTATCAGGGAGATGTGGGAGATGTGACTGTGTTCATGGAACCTCTCCTACCACAGAGAGTCTTTCTTCATCTACCACCCCACAAAGCACCAAATCATTTGAAATCCATGTCCTGTTTTAGGAGAGACCCTGAGTTCAGGATGTTTCAGATCCAAAATTTTGCTTTGGTCCAAAGTGGAGACACATTATTTAGAAGTGACTTTTATTTCAGTACCTGACCATCATGAAGTTTGAGATTATTATGTTTTCTGACTTTATTTTATATCCTGTTTTATTTATACTTCTCATTACTGTATCAATACCCTGTTTATTATTTATTTCATTTTTATTTTCTGAGCAACAGAATCCTGACAGATGAACAGAAAGCCCTCTGCTCATGCCAGATATACTTCTGCATGATAGACTTTGGGCAGAGATTTTAGTCTGAATGAAGACTTAACAGGGTGCTGATTGTAGGTTTGTGCACAAACATATGTCTGATCTGGGCAGTCAAATACAGACCTCCCACTGCCTTTATTTCTGCCTAATGCCATTCAGAATATGCTGCAGTTTCTTTAAATATGTTTTGCCTACGCACATTCTTCTATAATACTTAGCTGTCTGAAGCAACTTTTAACAATTCATAAAAATTAAGTTACCATGGGGTGAGTGAGAAAGATCAAGCTGCTTTTAAACTACATGGATAGAAATGAGAAATGATACTGTCAAGCAGAGATGTCCTCTCTTGTTTTCAGGAATTGTCTGCTACAGGGTTTGCCACCGCAGACCTATTGGGCCAGATTCTGATTGTTCTTTGAATGACAAAAGAAAAAAAGGCAGTGTGAGAGAGATCAGAGGCTACAGGGATGTATACATCTTATTTTGAAGTATTTCTTTCTTTATTTCCTCCACTGTAGGTATCAAGTTAATTTAATGTGCAACTTTTTGAACAGGTTTTAGGAAACTGGGCACTGAAACCCAGCTGAACATCCTGACTGAACATTAGGGAACTGGGGTTTCTAAGTGCCTTATAGTCAGGGCCAGAGCCAGTAGAATTGCTGCTTTGGATTAATCTTCAGAAGCACATCAGCTGAGGCAAAAGAGAGCACTACATGGTCTATCCCAATGACAAAATGTGGAGTTTTAGGGTAATTCAAATACCCCCACTGCTGAATCAGGGCCTGCAGTAACATTCTTCTTAAACTTCTGTAGATTTTAAAACTATACTGGACTATAGCTAATATATATAAAACAGGCATTTCAATTTTATTTGGGAAACTATTGATTTTAGCCCTTACAGCTGTAGTATTTTCTAGGCATACAGTTCTGATTTAAAGGCTCCCAGCACTGGATAATTTGCCATATTTCCTTTGTCAGTCAATCTACTAATTAACCACCTTCACTGTAAAAATCAATAACTTAGCCCTAGCCTAAATTTCTGTTAGCATCATCTCTAAAAAAATGCATCTCATTGTGCTTTTCTCTAATAGATGATTCTGATCTAGTTTCTTCGGATACTAGAAACCCTCCTCCATGCAAGTGTAAAAGAGTATATGTCATACCACAGTTATGCTGCTTGTAAGGTTAAAGGCTTAGCTGTAGCCAGGCTGCTGCTTTATACAGTGTGTGATAACTCAGACCTACCATTATCAACACTAATACTACCAAAAACTTATTCCATTTTGTTTAACAGTAAACAAAACCATTAGCACAGTCCACTGGAACATTCAGACTAGAACCCAACTATCCTTAAGTTTTCACTGCTCTTTGCACTTTCATAGTGAGAATTAATCGATATTATAAAGCCTTATTGGTATTATGATGCTTATACTCAAAATATCTCTAAGGTTTGTCCTGATAGCGCATAGCGCATATCAGTGTGTTTGTGGAAAGCTCCCTTTCCTGACTGATGTAATTAGAGGTCTATGGTATTAAAAGAGATCTTTATAGTTATGGCAAAAATATTCTGCTGACTTTGATTTTTTACTCAGGAGCTTAGGCAGGAACTTATTTTAAAATTTTATTGAGATAAACTAAAAAAAAAAAAAAAAAAAAAAAGTTCACTTGGCCAGGATTTTCAGTTGCTGAACAGTACACTACTACAGAAGCAGATGTCCCAGTATCCACAAGCCCCAGAAACATGAATGCCTTAATTTTGCTGATGTGGTCCTGAGTTTTCTAGGTGGTATTTTGAAAATGCTAGTCCAGAAGAAGAGTAAGATTTTTTGTTTTTTGGACACAGATATAAGTGTTAGATCTGTGTTTATACCTGAGAAAGTTCTTTCCTCAAGGGAGGAAGGGAGGAAACCATTACTGTATTAAATGTATTAAAAAGTATTAAATGTACTTTTCTGAGTCACCTGCAGAAGTTGTAAAGACCCCCTTGCCTCTCCCAGCAAAAGATCTCAAAGATAGCTAAATATGGCAAATCATGGCACTGAGGGAATGCACACATTCCAAGGAATCAAGCTTCTGACAAAGGCATAAGACATAGTGTTCTGGAATATATCTGGGGCATTCCCCTTGGTGTTCAGTCTTGACAGATATATGAGGTTTCTGCTCCTACTTAGAAAACAAACAAACAAAAATCTTTCCAAAACAGTGTGGGCTCTTCCTAAGTTTCTGAAATTGTATTTTATTTATGACAAAGATTTTCCTTACTTGGCTCACACAACTCCTAGCTTTCACAAGATCTTCAAAATTCTGGACAGGAGACTCTGTTGTTCTGACCTTTCCATTCATTGTCTGATTTCATGCATGGAGATGTGAAAATCTCACTGGAGTTGCCAGACAAGTCTTCAGGCCTGTGAAGTTTAAAGGGATATTCTTAAACACAAGTTGATTTCAGAGAAAGTATTCAGGCTTACTCAGCTTATGGTCCTTGAATTGAGTATGTAAAAGTGTGACACAGGATTTAGGAAAACAAATTTCAGATCTGTAAAAGTTTTATTGTTTCAGTATACCTACCTTTATTCCGAGATGGAAATAAAGCTGTCAGACAGATCCATGCACCTACAGAGCACTGTAAAAGTTCAGCTACTGACCTAAATTTCATAAAATTCCTCTATATTTAAAAGAAGGTGCCAAAATTCACATTCATACTTCAAACCAAACTCCTGCCTGAGCTGACAAACTGAACGTGTAGGTCTAGATCTGAACTTCATGACCCCATCATCTATATCTATTTACGCATTTAAACAAGAACTTTAACATGTCACAATCCACATTGTCAGAAATTGATGAGTAGTTTTCTAGTTAATTAGCTGTCAACCATTTTTAAATAGGAAACTGAGGATCTATGTTTAAAATATGTTAAACGATTCAGTCACCTTTGTTAATTGGGTGTCTCATCAGGAAAATCTTTCACCCTGTGGTGCAGGTTTCCTTTTAAACCAAGCCACCTGCACCATTCATTTAGTTGACAAGGGGAGAGGGCTCATCTCTCATGATGACTTGCTGCTGTGGTAGCCATTTTCAGCAGGACACTCCCATTTTTCTTGAGACATTTCTCTTCTATCTTTAGCATCACAACCAAAGCCCAGGACCATTTACCTTGTCAAGCTGCTTGCCTCCTTGGTAGAAGAACATCAATAACCCACCAACCCTGGAATTATTTATCTCCAAACTTGCTGAGCCCTTGGTTACTAAATGGAGAGTCATGAAAAATGTCTGCCTAGTGACACCATGCAATTCGCCATCCTGTTCATGTCAGACACTTTCCACAAGAAAGAAGGAGAGGCTGCTTTCACAACGTACACCAAAGCAATGATAGAGAAAACACCAGGATACTCTGCAACCTGTTGTAACTATCAGGACTGCTGCAGTTATACCCATTAGAATATATTCCCAGCTACAAAGTGAATCAAACTTTTGTAGGGAAAAAAAAGAAAAGTATTTTAACTGTGAAACTTATATTTTGATAATGGCATATTATCAGGAGATTAGATTATTGACTTATTTGATTTATGGCTTTTGATAAAATACACATACTTATGTGAATTGAGGTAGTACACCTATATTAATAAGCTCTTCCTGTTTATGGCTGCTTATAGATCACTTTTAGGTCACTAGAAAGAGAAAGGTATGGTAGAATATGCTGATGCATGATCCTGTGACTGAGTTCATCCTACCCTTTGACTCTGTTCAATCTTTGATGAGTTCTCTGTGCTTGAAACCATCCCCTAGATTTTCTCAGACTTCATGCCCTGCCTGCAGCCCAGCCTCTGATGAAGTGTATTAGCTTTTCAGTTCTGCAAGAGATTCAGGTTGAAATTCATCCAGGACAATTCAAGATTAGTGGCTGCAATTCCAGCTATTCCCCCACCCCTTTCATGGTCCTGGAACTGGAAGCCCTTTTTGACTTGATGCATTTCAGGATTAGATTCATCAGTGGTTATATACTCAGAGTACTGAAGTCATGCTGGTGTCTGTTAGTGTCCTTTAATATTGTTTTGTCAGGGAAAGAAAAGTCAGACACTTAACTAAAGGGGTAAATAAAATACTGGTGGATCTGCTTTGCAAACGAGGTTGTCAAGACTTTTAGAAAGACAAAGCTGTGCGAAAATAAAGAAAATTAGAGGGGACTGCTTTTAAGGGTCATGGCAGGTGTTTGCAAAGGATGAGGGACAATGTTAGCAGCTTAGCTTCCTATCCAGCTAGACTGACATTCTTACTGTTTCACTTCTCCCCTAAATTCGTTCCATCACATGGTAATTTTCAGTGCATGCATGCACACATCTGACCTGGATAAGCCAGCTTTGAAATGGCTGCAAAGAATTTGTTGCATTCTAGTCCTTCTGCTGTGGCTGCAGGCAATCAGCATTCAGGGGAGTCACGTCCACTTCTGCCAGGTCTGACCCTGCTTAATTTACACAGCTATGAAGATCTAATGAGACGTTTCAGAAAGCCGCTAATACCACAGGGGTATTCATGTTGTCACAAGGCATTTTGATTTGCTAACATGATATAGGAGAGCAGATTAGTGTCCTGTGTATCCTATTAACATCTGAATGGCATAAGAGAGCCTGGGTTCAGGTGACCACCAGGGACTTCCTATCTTGGCCCTGCTTCTGCTGTCCCTAGTTAATAGCTACAGACAGGCTTGAAATCCAAGAGCATGTTTTGAATTCTCTAATAAACTACTTAGGGTTTGAACCAATGGTTCAAAAGAAATCTAAGTTTTAAAAAAATACAGGGGCACTGGGCAAATATTGAGTTTCACTTCTTAGACTGTGGTGCTTCCTCTTCACTATCACAGTCTTTCTATTTTTCTCCTGTTATTTTTTTGTTTGTTTTGTTTTGTTTTTTTTTGCATTCACAGCTAATCTCCAACACACCTCTTGTTCTATCTTTCTTCCCCTTATTCCAGCTCCCACAGAACATAACATAAGCATCCTCACCTCTTTCTCTGAGCCAAATGCAGATTGTTGTACTTTTTTGAGAAAAGAACTTTGTAAGAAATGATTAAAGCTAGGCAAGGAGAGGGACTAAACATGGTAATGTGTTGGGAAAGCAGAGGCAGTTCAGGATTAAACCTAGTTAAGAACATTAGTCTGATCTTGGCCTCTTTCCTTTCTGAACTGTTCCTTTGGTAGCAATACCATGCCATCATATACAAAGAAATCTGATGCATTAAACTCAACTAATCAGGCTACATGGCATTTATTACCAGGAAAGTGTTGTGGATTTGAATGGAGCTTATAACTTTTGTGTACAGTTGCCTGTTGGCTACAGCTATTATAGGGGGCAGTGTCAACAGCCAAGTCAGGTATGCAGGTGTCAAAGGTGTCATGGCAGAGGACTTCAGAGACAGTTATGTCTGTGGAAGATGCACTCTGACAGCACATATAACAGCACATATAACAATAAAAACAGACAATTACAAAGTATCAGTTTTTCGTTTGTTTGTTTGTTTTCCCCAGAAAGCCTCCAAAGTGGTTGGGCACCTGACAGCTGAATTCCTAGAAAAGAGAAGAATTAACAGCATAACTCTGCAAAGACATGATGGGAGAAAGAAAAACAAGAGGCCCATTCCAAGCTGCTGTTTTTCTGTCCAGGAAGAACCTGATCTGAACAAAGCACCACTTAGCAAACTTCCCTTCTTGAAGTATAAAGTGCTGACTTCTTGCATGGTGCACTTTGTGGTCTCCCATAATTTCCTTGAGCCTTGCTGGGGATGATGCAACCCTCATATCTGATGCCAAGATAGAAATACGTCAGGACTACTTCATTACAGCTGCTGAGAATACCAAAATGAGGCTCACACTAGTTACAGCTGTTATTCTCACTTGATAAACTTTGTAAGTGATGTATGTATGCTATGAATACACATAGTGTGTATGATGTGTGATATAAATTACTGAAACTTGTTTTTTTTTTTTTTGGTAGCAAAGTGTTAGGAGAGACAGAAATGAAATTTATGAACATATATTTTTTAAGTTCAGTAAAAATGTGTTGTACTATTCTCCTCTCTTCCCCACCTTTCACCACATTTGAACAGCCAAAGGAATAGAGCACATGGTGGATCTACTGTAGAGAGCAAATCATAGATATACAAATTTAAGTTTGTGAACAAAACATAAACATATGTTTGGAATGGTCTACTCAGTTCCAAAACAAGCACAACATAAGATACTCATATTCTTGTGTCTGAACAGAAGGAATTAGAAAAAAAAAAGGGGGGGGGGGGGGGGGGGGAGGGGGAGGAAGTACTGAATTTTATTTTATTTTATTTTATTTTATTTTATTTATTTATTTTATTTTATTTTATTTATTTTATTTATTTTATTTTATTTTTGATACAAGAGGAAAAACCTAGGAGCCTGTGTTGTCCTTGGTTCCCAACCTGTAACTTTGTTCTGAAACCAAGACCTCACATTGTCCTTTTGAAAACATCCATTAAACTCTCTCAAGAACAGAACCTCTACGAGGCTCAAGAACAAGGTAGTAAGAATTGTGGAAAACCACAGATTTAACCACAGCCTACTTCACACACACACTTGGGAGAACTGGTATAGCTTTTATCCTTGTGGGTACTTTCTATGGTGTGACATATCAACATATTGACCAATGTCTAATGAGATGTTTTAAATGGAAAAGTAAGTTATCATATCACCACATTTCCTGTCATCTTAGTTACACTCTGGACTTACTGTCACACTGTTGGCTTGCTGAAGGAGAGAGCAATCTCAAATTTAAGATTTAAGGAGATGCATTGTGCAGTTTCTGGCTTAATTAAGCCATTATGATTTTTTTAGGGGTTTAAGCACAAGCAATTCAAATACATAATTCAGCAAGTACGCTGGCTAGCCTTGCACTTCACTTGTTCTGAGGTGAAACAGATTGTGAGGGGGGAGACAGCTGTGAGAACATCCTGTAGAGTCAAAACGAGCCAGTCCCTAATTTACATTGTGGCCTCAGAGATGAATTAATTAGACTTTCCTAGCTTGAAGTTGGCAATAAGCTCTTCGACCCATGCTGGGCATACACACTCTGTCTGGCATGGAACTGGCACTGTGGAGCAGGAGGTATCGATTTCACTGCTCAGAGAGATTATCTATAGTCTCTTGAAAATGAAGAGAAGCAGGGGAGAAGTAGCTGTTATCAACTGGTCTGCTGGGAAGTGCTAAAGTGACCTTTGCTCTTTTGGGATCATGGTATATCAGCTGCTTTCATAGCCTAGCTAAAACAAGGAATGGAGTAGTTTCTGTACAATCTTAAAAGTAAAGGTTAGAGTAAGATACAGAATTGTGTGAGAGGCAGAAGCTGTATCCTTTCACGGGAATAATGACAATAAAGGAAAAATCTTCTTGTGTGTGTGTATGTGTGTGCATGTGTGTAATGAAAGAATTAATTATACATAAGGGCACTATAAAAATCTGTAATGCTTTCTTACCAAAATATAAAAACACACTATGCTTTATCTGGTACAAAAGCTTTCCATTTGATGAAAATCAAAATTTCAAGCAAACAAGTCTAGATTTCCTTTTCTCTTCCTTTTACTAGGATCATACAAGCTTGCAGGGAAAATGGAGACTGGGCAGCAACTGATTTCCACCAATGGTCACAAAACTAACCAACAATTTCCAATTTTATCCTATCTATTTATGTCAAGCTGAATCATCACTCCTTCTAATATCTTTGGAAATATGTTTTTCTCCGTGTTCATCTCCTGAAAACAAATAAGTGCAGTCATTGGCATAACTACTGCTGTGGCACACACATGATAAAACCATGAGCCTTCTCAGCAGTCTAAGGGGATTTCTGTTACATATGC